AGTATATATAGTTGTTTGAAGGTTTCATAAGCAAAATCATCCGACCACCGGATAAAGCGATCGGTCACGTGATTACCTGCAACAAAGAAACAGTGCGTTATTTTGAAAATGTAATCCATAAAATATTATTATTCTAGTTAATTTAAGGGATATACCAAGCGGCAAGAGGCTCCGAGCCAAAGTTGTCATCACACCTATAATCGAAAGGTCCAAGAGTTAATTTGGTACAGGAAATGAGTTTGGTTTTAAAGATTTATCCACGCGAATAAGTAAAAACAGCTAGGTAAAGCGATATTAAGTATTTTCAAGACGGATAAAAGGAATTAATTATAATTTTAGTGGTTCGACATTGAAAATGGTCGAACTTTGATAGTTTTGGGAACGTTATTCAGTGAGACGAGCCCAAACATTGGGTAAAGCGCCGGATTGGTTCGGCGAACCAGCCAATCCAAGAAGTAAGAAGCGAGCGTTAAAAGTTATGTGCGCTGCAAACGCGGAGAAGGGGAAAAACGACCGCCGGTATAAATATCGTTGCCCGGATGGCAACGAGGTCTTTTGTTCCGATCTCTTCGCGAGTAAACTCCGCGTAATAAAAGTCCCGCAAAGTATTGCGTAATTCGAAGTATCCGTTATTCAGCGAGCGTTGTAAACACCGAGGAGGGAAAATTATCTCGATCGGACGTCGCGAGTACGGATTATACGATCCCGAAACGGATCTAGCGCAAGTTTGTTGCGCATATATACGATGTTTTCTTAAAACTTTAAACGCGATTCCGGTTATCATTCGTGCGTTATAGCGCTGTGTCGGTCGTGGCAGGGCCGAGTCGTTTCCGCGGCGCATTTAGTGACGCAAACCGTATTGCGTTTAACGCGCATCCCCAATCGCTGGGATTCCCGCCGAAAGGCGAGAATGCGTAATCCGCGAAGCGCGAGCGATCGTGTGCGCGGACCTTCTATTGTGAGTGCGTGGAAGCGTGTATGTGAGCGTTTGAACTGTTGAAAATAAACATTATAAACATACAATCGAGCAAAGTCGAATTATTTTGCGGACCCCACAAAAATCGCGTGCGCTCACATTCCGAACTCATAAAACGAGAATATCGTCAACTGCCGACGACCAGAAGGAAGGACGAGGATCCGGTAAACCTGGGCGGCTGATCCGAGGAAAATTACCTTTCCTGTAAAGGGTTAAACAGGGTAGCGACAGCAGTAAGTCTAACTGCACTTACCTAAAACGAGAAGGGTAAGGCTCATTGTCGTTCTACGAACGTAGTTTGGTCAGTCTCGTACAAGATAGAATATCTAAAATAAAATTGGCACTTATAGTCGGCATATTAAGAACCGTGCGGGCGTACGATAAGTGCGCTGACGAAAGGGGTCTTCGGGGGAAAAGGTCCGATGGTCATATTAAGATGAATTATCATTTTGTCGATTTCATGGAAACGGGCACTGATTCCGGTTACAACCTGATGAATAATGAAGATTTTGGCAGATTTTCAACATGCTCGTCGCGCGGCAGTAGCTCCGACCAGAGATGCGGATCGGAATTTTCGAGATAGTCGAGGAACGATTGTTTTAGGGTAAAGCGAGAAGAGAGCGTTGTTCTCTCAGAAAACGAGTGAGCGATAGCGAGATCGAGCTTAAACGATTCGGTCTCGAAAATGTGAAATCGTTTATGCAACTGATGCATCGCTCGGAAGAGGATTATGCACTCGAATTGCTAGAATTGAAGAAAGATGACGAAAGTTTTGATATGGAAAGAATTAAAAATTATAAAACTTTGGCACTTCCCGCAGCAGTTGATAGAGATTCCTTTATATCGCGCGACAATATGTTTCCTTTTATTTGTTGCATTGTTTGCACTGTTATATTTTGGTTTTTGCAATTTTCATTCCGATGCGATTCGACGAAGTAATCTTCCTGTGTAATTTATATTTTTATATATTCAGACTCCATATAATATTGATTTCGTTAATAATTTATTTAAATGTTTTTCCTGTAATTTCAATAAATATATTCCCTGTCATGTGTACATGTCATATTTTATTATATTTGTAAATGTTATTATAAATGTATAGGTACATATATATTGGATGTTTGCATTATACGAAAATAAACTTACAAAAACTTGGGAAAGTATGTTGTAGAAAATTACATTTTCTCTCTCAAAGCAACGAAGAGATTCTGTAAAAGACTTATCTCACAATAAAAGAGTTAATATTAGAAAGAATGAAATGTTGAAAATAATATTTTTTTCGACACGTTATATCAATAAATTTTCTGGATTTAATCGCGACGGACGCACTGTGATGGATTGTATAAGTTTATCTCTGCGCGCGAATAAAGGATTAATTTTATTGCTGCAGCTCGTAATTCTCGGTGCATCTGTATATGTTACTTGCAGTCGAATAATGTCTGACTACGAGCGAATGCCACGTATACACCGGCGGAAACTTCCAGCTCACAACAATTTTCCCTGGACAATCTCCAACAATCGTGAAAATCGGCCCATACAGCACAGAAGCTTGCAGCAATATTGCAGCAAAGTTGCATCATTGCATATTGCAATGCAATGCTTCAGAAACATTGTTAAAATATAGATTTGCAACATATTTTAATAATGTTGCAGCAATATTTAAAAGAAATGTGAAAAGAATCTA